CCATGACTGGCAGTGGTAGGCATTCGGCTAATGTTTGTCCTGTTTAAATCTTCCCCTAGAAGAGGGGCTCAGACGGGGTCTCCCACCAGGCCTTCTCTTGTCTCTTGCCTGTACCTTCTGGGATGGGGAAGAAGACAGGCAAGTGACAGCGGAGAGAGGGATTAGCACAGTCCCCTCCCCTTCACCCCTCGCACATTTTTTAGTGACAGGATTTTAAACGGTTTTCAGTTGCCCTAGGCAAGAGACTTGGCAGCCTGCTGTTGGCCAGGGTGGAGCTTAGAGGCCCCCTGTCACCTGAGCCCTGGCCTGGGGCTTGGACCCAAAGACACAGTTTAGTTCTGTCTCTGTGCTATGCAGTCTGGGCTGAGTGACTTAATTTCTCTGAACCTCAGTGAGGCACCCTGAAGGCAGGAGTTTCCTTGTGCCCAGAGTCCCCGGGCCTGAACTTGAAGGACCAGATCACAGGGCCAGAGAGCGTGGGGCTGGGGAGGCAGCCTGGGGTCGTGGCAGGGCCGTGGGTTTGCAGCCAAACCTGGCTTTCAACCCTGCGTCCGCTACCCCTGGTTAGCTGTGTTATGTTGAGCTGGTCACTTCCTCCTCCTGAGCCTCGGTTTTCTCTTCTGAAACTCGGGACCTGCCTCTCGGGTTGGTGAGGGGTAGACGAGGGAATGACCTGGAGGTCCTCAACATCTCTGGGCTCCTGGAAGCCAAGCGGTGGCTGGAATCCCCCAGAGGCGGTGAGAAATGAGCCCAGAAGAGGGCGCAGGGCGATGCCTGCCTCTAGGGGGTGCTGCTGCCGCGGGCAGGCCAAGAGAGGCTAACGGGGCCTTTCAGGCGACCCCAGCCACAGGAATGGGGAGAAGAGGCAGGGGAAGGAGCGAACGTTAGGACCGCAGGTCTGTGGACGGGAGGCCCAGAGGCGTCCCGGATGGATGCAAAGACACACAAAGGCAATGACATACCCGCGTGCGGATGTACAACTTCCTCACTAGCACACCACACACCAGCGACACCAGCGTCATACACAGACAGGAACAGCCCTGCTGGTAGACACGGCCACGCATGGCAGCAAGGCTGCCTGGTCTAATCGGGCCTATTCCCCACTGGGCAGCAAGACCCTGGATGGTCCAGTCCTGCCCCAACCTCCGCAGGCCTCATAGTGCTGGAGGCTCACGCCGAGTTTCTGCGTGAGACTGGGACACTCCCCGACACCACCCCACCCCACTCCCAGGCAATTTCAGATCTCAGCTCAATATGCAGCTTCTTCCAGGAAGCCTTCCATGGTGCCCCACCCCTCCAGGTAAGGTCGGGTCCCCCGTAACAGGCTTCATTGTACCTCAGCTGAGCTCTTACCACACTATCTCCTTGAGGCAGGGACCACCAGCCCCGTTCTCAGGTGGCTGGCACTGAAGAGGCCCTCACAAATACGGGCTGCTCGAATGAATGAGTGAGCGAGCGTCGGGATGGAGCACGGTGCGACAGAGATGGGGCGCAGCATCCGCTTCCAGGCTGGAGAAAGTTCAGGGTTGGGCTGGGGCAGGGTGGGAGGAGGTGAGGTTATGGGATGGGGCTGGCAGGCCCCTCTTCCTTGGCCTGCTGGCCCTGGTGGCCGTCAGGAAGTCCGCTGACGTCGCACGCAGGACCGGCTCAGGCCCAGCACAGCGCCCCCACCCGCCCCCCAAGGAGAAGCACCACAGGCGTGTACAGGTTGGTTTATTTACAAATATACTGATGTCTCATCTTTTTTTGTTGTTGTTCCCATTTTCTGCTTTTGTGGGAAGAGGAGGAGGTGAGAGTGGAGGGCAGGGTGGGGTGGTGATGTGGTAAACGCTAATAAATAATTTAACAATGACAAGTTATTAAATAAAACGTGTCTGGGGATGGCGGGTGGGCAGTGAGAGTCTGTACAAAGAAAACAGAGGAATGGCCGGCAGCCGGGTCCCCACGCCGGCTGGGCTGGGCTCCCCCAGGACCCCAGGCCCCGGGCACCAGAGAAGAGGCTCGCCCGCCCCCCGAGGGCTAAATGCTGGAGTCTCCCTCCTGCCCCGGCGGCACGTGCCCGTGAGTGGGGGTGCGTGAGCCTCCGTGTGCGCCTGGGTGCGAGTGTGTGTGTGCGCGTGAGTGTGGAGCCCTTTCCCCACGGGGCCAGCCGGTCTGAGCCGCAGGCTCTCCCTCACCCGAGGCGGTGCCCAGGGCACCGGGCTGGGGCCAGGCAGCTGTCAGCCAATCCTCCTTCCCCTGAGACTCCCAGCGTGCCAAGTGAAAAGGGCAACCAGATGGGCGGGGGAGGGGCCGCCTCACTGCCAGGGGCTTGTGGAGCTTCCTAAAGGAGAAGAGGCTGAGCCCCAACCCTGTGCTGGGCCCTGCTCATCTGGGTGCAGCGCCAGGGCCTGCCCACCCGCCGCCCATGCACACAGCGCTTCTCCCACGGCTGTGCGGCTCCCTCATCTGACCCCTGCCACCTGGGAGTCTCCCAGGACAGCAGAGCACCCAGGGGGCTTCACGGAGCAGGCAGGTGAGAAGGCTCTGGCTTCTGGTCCCCTTCTGCCATGACTCTGTCACCTGGGGGTGAGTCCTTCCTCTTTCTAAGCCTGGACTTCCCTGGGCTTTTCTCCAAGACTCCCCCTACCCACCTCTCACTTTCTGCCTCTTCCTCCAGAGACCACGCAATGACCTCCCTCTTCTCTTGAGTGTCCCAACACAGCCCCACGGTGACCATGGCAGGGGTGGGGGGTGGTGCTGGCTACTCCCCAGGCAGGGCTGCACTTCCTCCCCCGGAGAGGGAAGGACCTGCTCCTCTGCCGGCCCCAGCCCCCTCCCCCACCCACCCTGCTCAGCCCCTGGGCTCTGCTGGGTGACCTTGAACACCCCACCTCCCTTCTCGGAGCCTCTGGTTTCTCGTCTGAGAAATGGGTCCCTAACGACTTCCGAACTGGGCTGGAATGGAGTGTGATTGCCTCTCCCTCTAGGAGAGAGGCCCTCAGGGCAGGCCCTGCGTCTGTGCCCCACGCTCAGTCCAGGACTGGGCAGAGGGGGCATTGGTGTCTGGGAGCCCGCGGGCGGCAAGACACAGCACACAGTGAAGGGGGTCCCTAGGCACGCCTGATGGGGCATCTCTGGCATGAGGGGCTCTCTGAGGTCCCCTCTGGCTTTAACAATCTGTGGGGCACGAGTGTCGGTGTCCCTGTACCAGCTCCTGGCATGCGCCGGCGTGATGCTGGGAGCAGGGGCCGGCAGAACCTGGGGGCTGTGAGGCCCCAGAGTGGGAAGAGGTGACCCCAGGGGCTGACAAGCTTACTAAGGGCAAGTCACGCCTCCGACCTGGAGGCCGTCCCCAGATGAGGATGGTGGCGCTGCCACGTCCTGGTCTCAGCTCCAGCTCTGCCACTGACTCGCTGTGAGACCCGGGCAGGCCCCTTCCCCTCCCGAGCCAGGTTCCCCAGCTGTAAAGTAAGGGATGGAGCAGACCACCCATTTCTGATGTTCCTTCCAACCCAGCGAGGCTGGGAGCGGAGGGTGGTCTTCTGGGCTGGGGACCACCTTGGGATTCGCCAGTGTGTCCCTGGCATGATTCAGCCTGTGCGTGTGCAGAGGAGAAAGCGGAGCATCTATCAAGATGCCAAAGTGGCTGCCCAAGGGACCAGTAGTGGCATGGACCCCGGGCGGGCTGAGGCTGCAGGAGGACCAAGGACGTCAACTGAGGTCCTTGGCGAAGTTCTGTTTGTAACAAGAAGAGCCCCAGAAAGGCCAGGCTGCCTGCGCGGGCTTGAGGGGTGACAATGAGCCATGTGCTCCCCTCTGACGAGCCCGCCCTGGTGAAGAGCATGGAGGGGACATGGGTGCAGAAGCCCAGCACAGGTGAGGCGGGAGGCCTGGGACACTCTGCAGGGACTGGGGTCCCCGCAGCACGGGGCAGCAAACCACACAACGGGCTGGTGAACTCTGAGGATTGCAGGGAGAGCCAGGCAGAGGGGCCCACAGGTGGAGAGGGACACTCACTGTCCTCACGCACTCCGAGGTTGGACCAGGCCGACCACGGGGTGGTGGCCTTGGCTGGACTTAAAGGCAGGGTTGTGAGCACCTGAACAGGGCACACTGAGTACCAGGGCCCCGAAGGCTGCCCCCTCGCTTTGACGGGGTTGCGCTGAGTCGGCAGGGGCTGGGGGGGACGGCAGGGCACTGGGCAAGATCTTTGCAACATCCTGCCGGCCTGCAAGGGGGCCGGACGCGCGGTTGGAATGCGTCATCCAGGGAGGACTGGTTAATGGGCCAAAGCCAAACAGGGAGAGGCCCCCATGGGCCACACAGCTTGGGTGACACCCAGGGCCAACTCTTCACATCAGCAAATGTGCCTGGGAGGGACCAAAGCGGTGGTCACAGAGCTGGTGCGCAGAGAGACCCCACAGGCTGGACTAAATCAAACAAGAGGGAACGGAGCTTCAAGAAAGTCATGGTCCTTCACTGGGTCTAAACGGTAAGTGTCCCCCTCCCATCCCGCACTCACACAGAGAAGAGACAGAGCGTAGCTGTAACGTGGGTGTGAGTGCCAGGGGATTCAGTCACAGAAGGGCAGGGCGAGTAGTGTCCAAGGTCACGTGGCCCCAACCACTCATTGGACATCGGCCGCATTCACAGAGGCAGGGCGCCCACAGCAGGAGAGGGGATGGCCTGCTCGCTCGTGGCCAGTGGATGCAAGGGAGGCCACATCTGCCCTGCACCTTCACAGGGAAAGCGGGGGCCTGCTAGGGGCGCGGTTTGGGAGGAAAAGCTGGAGGCACAGGCCCACGGACTTGGGGCTGGAGAAGGCGGCGGCGAGGCCAGAGGGACAGGGTGGCTGACACACTGAGCTCCTCATCCCTGCAGGTGTGTGAGGAAAGGCAGAGGTGGCTTGGGAGGGAGCCAGGCGGCAGGTGGAGGACCACGCGGTGCTTCTGAGGTCCCTGTCCACCTGGAGGCCCTGCCATTTGGCCCGATGCCCCCTGGTTCTGGGGGCTCCGTCTCTGCCCCCCCGCCCAGGCAGCCCCCACTTGGGTCCACGTGCTTCAAGCTCACTCTCCTCGCCCCTTCCTTCCTTCCTCCCTGCAACTGCTCCTAGAAGAGGCCTGTCTGGCCTCCTTTCCCCTTCCTGACAAGGCAGGGCAGACCCGCGGCAAACCCGTCCCTTTTCGGCATCCCCGTGGCTGTGTGCGTATGTGCGGGCCGTGCCTGCACGTGTGTGTGCGTGCGCTCCTCTGTCACTTTGGGTCTGCCTGGGCTCAGTGCACAGCCCCAGCTGCGCCGGTGCCTCGCTCTCAGGCGGAGCAGTGGCGGGCCGTGCACCTGTGGGGCTCTTCCCCTGGCTGGCAGGCCTGCCCTCGTTCGGGGGAGGTGGCGCCACCGCAGGGCCAGGCGCACACGCTTCTCAGGTCACAGGCATCATCGTCCTGGGGCTTGCACGGGAGCCATGGAGGTTGGCTGGACACAGAAGACGTTTAAAAAAATAGAGAGAATTTAAGCTTCCCAAAAAAGAGATGGGGAGGGAGAAGGCGCTACGGAGGCCGAGGTGGGGCTGGGAGGCGAGTGGCCGTCCGAGCACTCTGGGTCCCTGGGGGTGACAAGGTCTCTGTGGGCAAGACACAGCCCCTGCCCAGGCTGTGTCCATCTGCCTGCCGGTCTGGCTGTGCCAAACGGACACTTTAGCCAGGCCCGGCCGGCCAAGGGGAGGGCACCGTATGGCTGTCTGTAGAGTCTGTGCGGGTGGCGGGGTGGGGTGGCCAGGCTGGCTGCTGGGGCCGCAGTCCCGCCCCAGGCCCCGTGCCCAAGCGTCCATGCGCCCGGCTGGCTCTCAGGAGGCAAAGTAGGAACTCTGCATGGAGTAGAGCCGGTCGATGGGGTTCCCCACGCGGGCCTGCAGCGAGCCCACGTCTGAGGAGCCGAGGAAGCAGTCACTGAGGCTGGTTAAGGAGGTATCGCTGTCGATGTCGTGGAAGATGGAGTCGTTCCCTGGGGGGCAGAAGGAGTGTCAGGACCAGGTGCAGGCTGGGGCTCCTGGGGGCCCTGTCGGCCCTGCAGGCTGCGTGGCCAGAGGCCAGGGAGAGACAGGATGGCCTGCCAGCCAGTCCTGCCCAGAGGGGCTGGGGCCGGTCCTGTCAGGGGACGGCTGTGGGCTTTGCTGGCCGGGCCTGCCTGTACCCACGGCTAGCAGGTGGCTGTCACGGCCCTAGGCCTGCCCAGCCAGGCAGCGGGCAGGGTCAACGGGGTGGGCGGGGGTGGGGCGGCTTACCATAGGGGTTCATGTGGTCACCTGGCATTTGGGGCGGCGTGAGGCCCTGCTGGAAGGGGTCGCTGCTGCCGTAGGGGCTCTGCTCCATGGCCACGATCTGCTGCTGCGGTGGGGCCAGCGGCGTGTAGGAGGCCATCATGCCCTCCATGCGGCTGGACAGGACCTCTGGGGACAGAGCACGCCGTCACCACCTGGCCCTGCCCACCCAGTCCCATGGCCCAGCTTCCCTGGGAGCCCCA